TATCAAGGTGTATTGTCAGATTGCCTCACCAGTAATAACTGGGGACATTACTGCTCTTGTGAGCTTGGTTTCCTCAGAAGAGGAGGGAATGCTTCTACGACCATAGTGTGTTTGTGTTAGTTCACCTTTCTGTCCATCCCATAATTAACTTTTGATGTACTCATCAAATATCTGCCAAGTTCAGCACTGAGATACAAGCCTGTAAGGTAATGGGGTTCACGGGAGCTCCTGAGGACTGTCAGGGAAGGACTATTCAGCAGGGTATAGCCTTGCTCGAGGGGAGGCAGACTGAAAGCAGCTCTTGTATGTCCAACAATCAGCTGAGCAGTTAGCAAGACTGAGCTAGTCAACTTTTCAGTGTCCATGTAGCTTCAAAGTAGCCACAGCATGCATGGTTTGTGAGTGAATTTCATAGATTTGTCTGTTTTACAGTTTTCATTGCAAAGTTAAGCAGATCCAGGAGACAAGTCTTTCTTAAACCAGGCATTAGACATGAAGAGTGTAATTTTTAATGAAGAAGAGAGGTTCTCATGCAGCCACATGTTTCTTGAGTCTACTTCTAGCATAAGTCATCTGCTACAATGAGATATGGTGCTCTATGAAGTTTATTTGTACTTGGAAATGTTCAATATCAAGATCAAGAGAAAATAAGAAAGTATTCCCTGTCAAGTAATGGGGAATATGAACAGGATTTTTTGGAATGAGAGAGGAGTAACCAAGAGATTTTTTCAGTCTCCTAACATCCTTATAGGAAAAAATGTTTTCACTTTTTGTGATATTCAATTTAACATTTAAAATTGACTGAAGGAATTTAAAGAAGTTAAATCTCATGAGTCATCAAACAATTGAAATGAGGCAGCATTCAGAAACACCCAAAATTTTAAACTTGGCATGAAAGCACATTCATTTGATTCCCTTTGTATATCAAATACTTCTTAATTTCTGTTATCAAAACAGAAAGCCTCACAATGACATACTCAGGCAGTGCAACACTCTGTTTTGATTTCTGCTGTTTTATTCTGTTCTAGTGGGAGTAAAATATACCTCTCTTTCCCTGCACAGGGAATCTCATTTGGGAAGAAAAAGTTCTGCTCAGCTTGTTTCCAAATCACTACCAAGATTAGCTGTGGCAATGCAGAGACTAAATAGTTCCTCTTGTTAGGGCAGACTTTCCTCAGTGCACTCTGTCATCACCTGGCTTAGCTGGCATGGCTCACGGGCTTCCAGGTATTCACCTTTTAAATGAGATACAGCAGGCTGAGTATTATCAATCTTGGCAGGACACTGCTCCCTCAAGCTTTAGGAATAAAAACAGGAGATGCGAACAGCTGTTTTCACCTGGTGAGGTGAAATCACTAACTATGGTATGGTAAACTGTCGTAAAAGAACATGTTTAGATGAAAAAATGATCAGAGAAAGAAACGCCCTTGAAAAGTCTTTAGTTACTTTTAAGATTTAGTGAAACTAAACTGTTATAAAAGAACATGCCTAGATGGAAGAATGATCAGAGAAAGAAATGCCCTTGAAAGTTCTTTAGGTACTTTTAAGATTTATTGAAACTAAGATGCAAGCCATTCCGAAATTCACCCTTCTATTCTTGTGCCTTAAGCAGTCTAAAATTTATTTCATAGAAGCTGTAAGGTGTACACACAACAACCAGAAAAGCAACTGTGACTAAACACGTTTGAAAATATACTGCTTTACTCATTAACAAAATATACATATGAATTACACAACAGGAACAGGAGGTCCAGATTACGTACACTGTTGCAATGCTGGGACATTCATTCCCTTGTTCTCAGACTAAAGAAAACAAGTAGAGAAAAATTAAATAGTTGCTCCTTTTCTTCCTTTTGTGCATGTCAAACTTATTTGTCTTCTAACTTGAGCAAAGAAGCACCTCTGTGCATAGCAATAGGTTTATAAATCAGAAAGACAAAACACTGTCTATTTTTACAACCAACTGCACAAAAGCAAGACAGAACCTCATTGTGGAGACAGGCAACAGAGAAAGAAACCATGAACACATATGCACAAGCAACTTACCTCTGCTTTGACTGCCTTGCTTGTGACTTCTGCCACTGTCCCTGGTCTGTCTCCACTAGCAGACTGATTCACTGGCAGAAACCTGCGCCGATAAAAGGAAGTCAAAACAAAATGAGCACTTCAGGGAAGCAGCTGTGAGTGTCATGAGCTGGCAGCGTGTATTGTAGAGCGTGTTTAAGAGCTGATTTGGCAGTCCTTCAGAAGTGGGGAAATCTTTGTGATGAAAAAGATCTTCTGGTTTAATTCACAAACCCAAAATGCACTATGGAGCAGGAGATTTTACAGACTACTGACAAGTCAGTGGTTAGGATGTTTAGCTGGGACCTGGGTGTTCCAGTTTGCCGGGGCTGTGGCAGACCATGACCAGTACTGTTGCCCAACTGAGGGGCTGCTTCAAATATAGTCTTTTAAGATGAAAACGAGGAGTGTCCAGCTTCTCTCAACAGTCTTTCAAGAGCAGTCTTTGCTATTGCTTTTCATTTGTTTATGTTAACTTTACAATTCCAGACTGACCTAAATGTGTTTCCCACTGAGCATCACAACTCATGAAACCCATCTTATTCTGTATTTATCACACTTCAATGCCAAAGAAGGCTTGAACACAACATACAACTTTTCTCCCAGTGAGGGAACAAACAAGGGGTCTTGTTTATTCCAAGCCATTTTCATCAGCTCTGAAAACATGGTATCTTTGGAGATCTTTGCCTAATGGCTGAATTAGTTATAGTCAGCCTGAGGGCTCAGTCCTCACTGAGATTGATTTGATGACCATGGGCAGTCGGACTTGTTCTGTGCCCTTGGGCAGCTGGCCTATAAACTAAGCAGAATCCTCCTACATGAGGATCAGCCTGTTCAGCCAATTAATTCACAACTGTCTTCAGAAGAACTTGTGTTTCATCATGGACTGATGAGCATTTAGAAGAACACCAGATGAAAGGGATGTGTTTTTGGGAATGCCATTGCAAATGATATGATACCTTTGACTAGTGGGGGAAGGAAAAGAGTGAAATAACAGGATGTCAGTGAAGGCACAGTGGCAGTTCTGCTTTACATATAAAGTAAAGAACATTGTTTGGGAGAGTGAAAAATGTAATTTGGCATTTTCTCAGTGAAAAGCATTATAACTTGGCTGTTCTGATGTCTTTAAATGACAACAACTTTCATTAAACTGTAAATTGATCACTCAGAAGGACTTCTGCAATTTGATATCTCATCCCTCCTCAGGGAGGTGGGATCAACAGTCCCAACGATGTGTCCAGTGCTGTTTGCTCAACCTGCTTTTACTGATTTTCCAGTAAATTCAACGCCCTGCCTCCTCTATGCTGTCTCAGGTAGTAAGATAGTTGCACAGTTGCAAGCTTTTTCTAGGTGACCTTAGGGAATGCTCTGGCTACTTTCAGGTATATTGCCATTTCATTTACCATTGAAAGTATGGAAAACTTATAATTTAGGTCTCAAGTCCTCATACATTTCCCCTACAAGCAGTGAGAAGTTGAAAGATTGACTCTCTGAAGAGTATTTGTCTCCGGGAGTTTGTATTTGGTGTAAGGAATGTCCTTGTTTGGAGGGCAGCTCTTTTGTTTGGATCAAACTCTAGTTACATTTGTGAAGCAGAAGGAAACAGGACAGGCTTCAGTAGTGGGCTTAGAAGATGAAACAGGCCTGTTATTTGTTTTGGAAGGGAAAGGTGCAGAAGTGGTAACAGCCATGTTTAATTTGTTTGGCTAATGAACCATTACAGAGAGTGGGACACTGGTCCTTTGGTCATACAGTGTCACCAGTGAACTGTCTTAGTCTAACAGCTGTACCTGCCCTGGATAGCATCCCAGACTTGGCCCACATTAACATTTCATTCAAATGAAGAATGAAGTTGCTATGCTGAAAGAAAACCCCTAAATGCACTGTGTTTCTTTTCACAGTGAAGCTAATGGAATTTTATTGTGGAGGGATGGTGACCTATAATGCTGTAACCTAATAACCATGGAGGCTACCCTTCAACTGAGTGGTTTTGTCCAGTAACTACCTCTTTGAAACAAGATTGGTAGAGTCATAGTTACCCTGGGAAATTAACAGGATGACAGTTTCTTCAGCACTGTTTTGAAAGCAGCGCTTTCCAGTAGTGGTCAAAGTGCTCCAAATACCCATGGGGTGGAGATAATGGACTCTTTCTAGCAATGTTTGGGCCCTTTTCATTTTAGTGTTTAAACTCCAGAGAGGCTGCTCAGAGCCACAATAAAGGTTAGAACAGCTCAGCTCTGTGGTAGCCAGTAGCTTACATGGGAAACAGAAGGAGATGTGAGATTCCTGCTGGGCTCATGGTGTAACTTTGAACTAAAGTGTCCTGTGGAAGTGTTGCCAAAAGGAAATCAACTCCTTTCTCCCAGACTGGAAAGATCATGTACACAAATCCTGAAAGTGTTGTCAGTAGAGACTGAGTTTGCAAATATTTCCCTGTCTCAGGGTGGGCCTTGAAACCAGGTTTCCCAGCTTCCAAGTGCACGCTTGAACCATGAGATGGGCTATCGTTTTCTCTTGCTCTTCCTCATGAAAACAGTGAGCAGTCCTGTTTCAAATGAAGACAAACCATCTTCTTTTCAGAAGTGAGGGTTTCTTTGTATTAACTCAGTTTTTGCTTTATGGTTATCATCTCATTTAATAAGAATACATTTAATAAATACTACAACTGTTAGAGTTAGTCTTGGCTTACACTATGCCTTTAAATAACTGTCAGCCCAATAAACTGCTAAATAATATGAAGAATGGAAAATATCTTGAGATCACTGAATATATCCAGAGAAAGGATTGCTTTCATTACTGTTACAGACTAAAGAAGAGAGTAGGCTGCAAGCAGACCCTGTCCTCTGTTAGCAAAGTATGGTTATCGCAGAAGCTAAACTGTATCAATTCAGAAAAATATTACAGAACCACAAGGTTGCTGAAAATATGAAGTGCACTATCAGGATGCAAAAGGCATTGGAGTGACATGGGGTATGCAGGAGGTACCCTTTCTTTGGGTCCAGATGCAACAGAAGGGCTTTTTTTGTACTGAATGAATCTGAATGTTGTTGAATGAGTCAGATAAGGCTACTGGTTGTGGGTTAAGGACTCCTGCATCAGATCAATAATTTCATTGTACATATGCAAAGGTGCATCCAATCCCCAGATGAAATCCAGGTGTGCCCATTCAGGAATCTTCTTGTGATAGATAAGCTTCTTTATTTTAGACAGTAAAATGGCCGCATCCTTGGGATCTGCGAGCAAGTCTTGTCCTCCAGTCCATACTGCAGTTGGTACAGTCATGTCTTCTATGTTGTAGAGAGGAGGAATAGTCTGGAAAACATGAAGCAGTACAGGAATGAATGTCCAGGAAAGAACAGAAAACTTTAAATGTCTATTTTGGGCTTTCTTCTGTCACTGCTTAAAGTAGAGGTGCCTAAACCAAAGAGGAAGGAAGTTCCCTTGCTTGTCTTTTACTCAACTGATAGCAGTGTCAAAGGTAAAATGCCTCCTGGGTTGACAAAGAGTTACTGTTGGGTCTTTGCCCCCTCAATTAGGGATTTTAGGGCAAGAACCTGGAACAAGACAGAAGATCTCAGGATGCTTCTGTATAAACCCCATCACGGTCCTTTTGAAGTGCTGATCAGTCCCAGAGAACATGATCTAGATAGAAAACATATGTGACAAGGATGAAAAGGATCATAGAGTGGCTTCTGTAGGAGGAGAGAGAAAGTAGCTTAGGACTTCTGAGTTTGGAAAATAGAGACCAGAGCAAGTACAGGAGGCAGGATTATACAATCACAAATAGTATGAAGAAAGAAACAGGAAGTAATTATCCCATTACTTCTCATAACACAAAACCTAAAAGGCATCCAGTGACTTTCCAGGAGCAAGCAAATTCATGTCAAACCAAAAGAAGTTGTGTTCCATGCAAACCATCATTAGAACATGTAACTCATAATGACAGGTTGTTGTGGAGACCTAAAGGGTAGGAGGGTCAAGGATGGGATTAGAGGAATGGAGAAGATGTTCCTCAAGGTCTTTTTGAGGACAAAGTCCTTTTGTCTCTAGCTGTCAGAATTTAGGGGTGGCTGTTAGTTCTCCAGTTGTACTCTTCCTAATAGTGTTTCTATGAACTTTCATGCATAGTCAACTGTTTCAGTTCCACTAGTAGGCAAGATGTCTCTGTTCTTTTCCATTAATTTTCATTTTCAAAATCCATTTCATATTATTTCTGTCCTTACTTCCTCTTATTCCTATTGATCAAGTAATTGAAAAGTTTTGCTCTTTCCTGCTCTCTTTCTTTCTTTTAAAATGTATTAAATTTATCATTTCCATTAGTGCTTGCATGCTTTCTCCATTGACTTCCCAAGTGAAAAGTAGTAATATTTTTATCTACTTATATTCTGAAAATGTGTCTCCTACTACATACTTGCTCTCTTCCTGTGTGCTTCTGTGATGTCCAAGGGTGATAATATTGTTTCACCAAAACATACCTGTTGGTATTTTTCTATGTTCTTCTTTGAACTGCCCCAGTCATAAGCTTGGAACTTCCCTGAGCGGGCCACCTAGAAGGATGAACAAGAGAAGGGCAGTTATAAAGACATTGTCCAGGAAGTTTTTGTGTTCTTTTCCTGCTGAGCCTCTGACTCCAGTCTAAAGCCCCAGCAGAAGTTCTTCTAAGAGCTATGAAAGAACCAGTAGTAAATTAAGTAAAAGTGTCAAACAGTGAAAAGGAGTCAAATGTTTTTGTCAGAACCAAAAATATCATGTTCTCCACAGAAAGACCCAGAGATGTCCTTGCAGACAATTTGTTCAGGTTGGAAAACTGCTAGCAACATCTGCCTTCAGTAAGTTCCCCTCACTGCTACTGTCTTGTCCTCCCCTGACAGTCGTGTTGCCATCACTCAGCTCTATGAGTGGCTCCATCTTATGTTTTCTCTTCCCACTCTATTTTAAGTACAGAAATCACAATTTCTAGTTCTTCTCAGGGGCTCCTTGGCTTTGCCTACAACATGGGTTGTTACTACTGTGAGATCCCTTCAGTGGGATCTTAACATTGAAAGTCTATTGGCTCCTTGAATAGTAATAACAGCAAGGACAGTGAAGACTTGGGAATATTACTTCTGCATGTTTGTGCTTGCCAGTCTGTGGTTAGATGCTGAATTACATCTGTGTCAATTTGCAGACCTTTCCCCACTGTGTTTCTGGCACCCTTTTTCTTTCCAGGTCTTTACATGGTTACAAAAGCAACTTCATCAAATCTAATATCTTATGTGAATTCACAGCCAAAAGTACTGTTTAATTTTGAGTAAATACCTGTGCAGACGTCACTCAAACAAACTCACTGTTTGCTATGCTGAAAAGTGCATTCACACTCCTGCAGGCTCACTGTGCTCAGAGCTGCTTCCTGCGCTGCTCCAGAGCCTGCGGTGCAGCCTCGAAAGCAGCCTTGTTACAGGGGCTTCTGTGAGTGAGCCCAGGCTTTATGAATCCTGTAAGTGTGAGCCCCAACACAGAAAGGCAGCTCCCATCAGCATTGCTGCTTGCAGGGGTTCTGGGGCAGTACCTGGTAGGTATGGGATATGAAGAGTCTACTAAATAAAGAGTTCATTATTATTTATGGTTATATTGCTGTCCAGACAATGAGACCTTTGAAAGCAAGAGATGAAACTATATGGGGTTTTACTAGTAAAACTGGATCATTTACATAGCAGCCTAAGTCCTGCTCGTTTCTTGACTCCACACTGGAAACATGACTAATGTCTTAAGCTAAGTTCTGTGCAGAACTGTGGACATCATTTATAAAAGGTACTATATACACAATAAGAACAGTGATAAATAGAACTGGATGCACAGCTTCCAGAATACATGTTTTTACACAAATGCAGCACTTCACTGTTGCCTTCAAATGTACCTATATCACACAGGGTATTCCTATCCTGCTGGCAAAAGAAAGATCAATGAAAAATAGTCTTCTGAATTGAGATTTTGATTGTAAACCACAGGTTACATGTCTCCAAGAAATAACCAATGGCTTCGTAGCAAGGTATCTCTGTACCTCTCTATTCAGCCCAAGGTGAGTATGTATTTTGTCTTCCAGGGGTTTGCTCATACCTGACTCCAATGGACTATGTTCTGCACAGAAGTTCCAGCGGAGGTTTGGGCAATATACACATTGATTCGGTTCTGAAAGGAAATACTCAGTGAGCACTCTCTTCTTCCCTTCCATTCAGATGTACATCAAAGTATCTTCTACAGCAGTGTCATGTATTTATAAAGCCAACAGAAATTGGAGTGACATGATTGGAGATTCCCTCAGATTTACTCGAGATATGGCAATGTGTTAGATTAAGAGTAGCACTGGAAGAACAATCCCAAATCAGAACATTTTCCAGTATGACTGAGAATCTAGAAGAATCTACAAGTGGAAGTATAGAATAGAAAGTCAGAAATTTAGGCCCCAAACTAGGTAGCTTTTTTTCAGAAGTCTGTATCAGATCCTATGTGAGAGAGCATCACTGTAGGGCAGAACAGCAAAGGGAAATGTAATTGCCTTAGGAATGCATGAGTATTCGAAAGAAAACACACTCTAGTCCTGCCAGGTTTCTTAACAAGCTGCTGCATGATCCTTCCTCAGCAAACACACTCTGAGGCATTTTTTGAGAAATGTTGGAGCAAAATTTTGATGTAATCTGACCTAGAGCTGAACATAGCATGAGGTACCCAAGTATGTCTTAATAACCCTCTCCAGTGTCTGTCAACTCTCAGGTACCCCCAAGGTATCTTGTGCCTCTGGGCACGTCCCTGATGATCCAAGGCATGGAGGAGGACAAGGGGAAATACATGTGCTCCTTTCTCTGCTGCAAAGAGAAAACATGAAGTGTTTTATTTCTCCTTCTGCAGTGTGCCAGCTTACTAAATATTTCTCATGAGACCAGTGGCAGACACAGTATGAACTGGGATATGGTGCCCTGGGTTAGGTCTTGCAGAAGGCAGACTACAGAATTTTGGGGGACTCTGAGCAGCTGTTGACTGTTGACTGCTGCCAAGTGCTCTTCTGAGGAGTGAGGCAGTGTTCCTCTGCTAGTGATAGGGCAATGAGCAGATACCGCTGTCCAGTAGCGGGGACTGTTCCCTGCAATGTCATACTAATAGAAATTCAGGATTTTCACCACAGGTTAAAAGGTGAGTTTTGGAAGCATAAGTTTAAACTCTCAGTCGAGCTGGTAGGAGTTATACATACCACATCAATGTTTTTCAAGTTACAGCCACCCAGACTGAAGAAGACACTTCTACAAAGCCCAGCTAAAGCTCGGTGGCTGCAGACAGGGGCTATTATCCTTCTTAGACCTTCAGTCTGGGGGAGGAATTCTCTTTTGCCAAGCATACCCTGTGAAATACAAAGTAACATTCATTTAAGAATGTACATTATTCCTCTTCTCCAGCACTTTCAGTGGTTCTTACTTGCTTTTCTGCATTTGCCAATTGATGTTCCCACAAACAAGAAAGAAATAATTTGGTTTTCCATTGCATCAACCTTCTTGGGCATTACTCAATTTCTGTTACATCACTTTTAATGAGGAGAGATGTTAAACTTTAACTCCAATTCATAGTTAGTTTTAAGCTTGTGTATCAGCTGTGGTTTTGTCTACACAAGTCTTGGACACCTTTGAAGATCTGCATCTCTGTGCCTCTCTGGGAGACCTGTCCCAGTGCTGCAGTATTGCCTTCGATGGAAAGCTTCTCTCAATGCCCAGTCGGAACTTTCCAAGGCTTCAGCTGTAAGGTAGACCTACCCACATGCAAATGAGTAGATTTCACAAAGCCCTGAACTTTCTGTTTAACCATTTATAAGAGCTGAACAAGCAAGTATACAGTTAAACAGTCAAAACCAAGATATCACGTACCCTGAGCACTTTTTCAGGAAGGTAGAGGAGTTTTGTGGCCGGGCCTTTAGCATACTTAATAGCAGTGACAGGTGCCAATGCAAAAAAGAGTTTGATTTTTTGAGCCAGCTCTGGCATTGTTGAAAATGCGATGAAAGCTGAGAAAACAAAAAGGATGAGTCAAAAATCATTGTTTGTACATTTTTTTCATTATTTATAAATGCTATTCTGCAACTCCAAGCCTACAAGCAACCTTGATAGCTGCTCAGAGACTATGGTTCATCTTAGATTTATGTAAAATCCCTCTTCTCCATGAGTTACCAGCTTGTAGGTTTTTTTCCCTTTTGGAAAATTTTCTTTCTATATTTTGCCTTTGCAGCTTTCTTGCAGGCCTTTTTAAACATAAATGCATACTTCTGATGTACGTTCATGCATTTCATATACTGCTGGGAGGAGAAGTTGTTTTTCTTCCTGTCAGTTTGATTTCATGTTTTCTTTTTTTGTGTGTACGTCCGGTCCAAACTGGCCAACTTCTCTTTCTGTACTCTTATCTTCCTGTTTTGTTTATTTTGGTCAACTGACTAGATGCTATTGGGCACACCCCTGCATCTTGGAAAGAAACAATTTTGATGGCCCATGGTAATTTCAAGTATAATTTTAAGTTGACAGTCTTCCAGCAGCAGTGCATTTGATCCATTATGTTTTACTGTCTTTATAATAAATTTAAAATGTGTTTTTCACACCTAAAAAGAGTAAATGAAAACTGCAGGTACATTCAGTAGCTCAGTATCTCAAATCACATTTTACTCCTGTTTTCCTGAAGCATTCATCTGCTGTGTGTAACTTACCATTGGTAGTACCTTGTGAATAGCCAATATAGTACAACTTTTCCTGTCCTGTTTTCTCCACAATGAAATTTATTGCTGCTGGAAGATCAAACCTTGCCATCTCATCAAAACTGCAATCAGGAGATTGAAAGAGAAGGATGCATAAATGAAATGTCAGACATTGAATTGAATTCACATTTTTAGTAATGGTCTGTCAGCAAAGAAGCAGTCTGAACCATTTAGTGAGCCATTTATCTGTTTTAGGTTCTGTGTTTTCCTGGCACTGGGTATGGAAGATACTACTCAAGATTTTCTGGGGTAATTTCTCCCTTGATTTTAGCAGAAGGACCATAGCTTCAAGAAGTGTCAGGATGAATTGTAACTGTCTACACAGAAGAAACAGGTGGTGATATAATAACAGAGCTCCTTCAGTGGAATTACACATTTTATACTATCTGACATTAAAAAAAAAAAAGTCTGTTTCTAAAAGGTCATCTAAATAAATGTAAAAATTATTTACATTTTCTCTTTCTGTGACTTTTGTGTTATTTTAATAAACAGACTAGTGTTTCTAATAGCTGCCAAAATCACTTGGAGATCACCTGTGCAGGTTCCTCTGAGTTGCTCTGCTGCTATGCCTCTAGTTTGAAGAACCTGTTCTAGCAGTAATTAAAGTAGTCTCCATTACTATTACAGTTCACATGCACGTATAGGAGCACCTCAGCAAAAGTGAATGTAAAGAATGCTTTTTAAAAGGTGGAATTTTTAGCCAGCTGAAACTAATTTGTGAGGATGAGCAACGGATATGCCCTTCAATGGTTCTGTCTACCTGAAAGCCCAGAATTCATCTTGATCAATGGAATAATTTTCATGTTTTCTTGACCAGCGATTCCCTCTGCTATTTCCCATCCAAACGTCAAAACCAGCATCAGCTAGCATGAAGCCCAAGCTGTTGTTGGGCAGGTTTGTGACCCAGTTACTAGCATCTCCCAATAATCCATGCTGGAGAAACACAGCAGGCTTCGAAGCTGAAAAGCAAATCAGAAACAAAACAACCATTTATAACTTTTTCTTTTTTTTTTTTTTTTCCTTGTAGTTCAGGGACATTATTCAATACTGGGGCTTGTTCCTGCATCAAGTAATCATAAGAACAAAACAACATCACTGTCTGCAAGAGAGAACTTCTAAGCTTCTATAAGGATTTATGGAAAGATGTGCCTGACATCTAACTTGGCACCCTCTGGTCATTGTTTGGTAGCTCACTGCTTCAGCTTGAGATTCTCAACTCTGATACAGAGAACGAAGGTGTGGGACTGTTTGTAGAGGTTTGCTTTACTCAAAATATGAATCAGCCACAGATATTAACCTGGTGTAAGCAAAAGCAAAGCAAAATTAGAAGCGAGAACTGCTTTCTCAAAACAGGCTGATTAGGCAGATTGCAACCTTTGTCCTTTTTTTTTCTTTTGTAAATTTTACTCATCAACTTATTAGGAAGCATATGCTTCATATTATAATGAATTTTTGTTATAAATAGGTGTACTTGACATAAATTCTGTAGATCTTGCAGGTTGTTCAGGGCAGCCAGAACTCTCTTAAAATTTCACTCAGGTATACAAGCTTTGGTGGACATTATACAAATACAGGGTATCATTTTTGAGAACATGCCCTATCTTGGCTGGTCTTGTGCCATATTAAAGAACTGTACCTGAGCTTCCTTGATTCTGAGTACCATAAGGAATTCTGTTAATGGTAATGATATAACCATCTTCTGTCATCACTTCATACTGCTCGCTGGGGTACCCTTTGTAAGTAATGAGCTCATTCTAGAAGAGAAGGTACAAATGCATTTGCTTGTCAAAGTCCATTTCATACGTTACAGGCATAAGACAGCTGGAATGAAGAAATGCTACAAAGCAGATTGGGCACTTAATCTACATATATATTAAGCATCTGAATAAAGCAGTATAAGACTGAATATCACAACCCTCAAAAAACCCAACAAATTTCCTTTATTCTTTTTGTTATATAGTTTTACTATTAATTTTAAATATGACTTGTAAAACCTGTATGATACTCTTGTCATAAAATCATCACAAGCCCTTGCATTCTGATGATAAAAGAATCACTGTAAACTCATAGCAGGAGTTTATGAGCTGAGAGGAGATGTGTGGCCGAGATGAGGAGCTGCCTGGGTGCAGTGCTCTTGGTCTGCTGCAATCCAAGCTGTAACCAGTTTATCCAAACTACCTTCAGAGAAACCCAGAAAGCTTCACAACTACTCTATTGTGAACTGCATAGATTCAATGAGTACTGTTGAGAATTTGACTACATTATGAAAAAAACAAGATCAGGCAATTGCATAGTCATAAGGGAAATCACTAGCACAGCCCACCTTAAGATCTGAAGTAAATATTACTTTTGACCTGTAACATTCAACCTGTTTGTTTCAAAAGAGAATTGTTTTTTATAACTTGTACTCAGAGAATTACTCAATGTATTTTGTCATGCAGGACAGAAACCTCACGATTTTAAAAAGTGATTAAGACCTAAACAAGTTTGCTTGGCAAGAGGTGTTGCTCTGAAAAGCTGGCCATTTCTGATCTATGCTGGTCACCACTACTTATTTAGAGACTTCTTTGCTGATGAAATGTTGACATTCCAGATGGCCATTCTTTCAGATATGCAGGTAGTGCCAGCAACCACAAACTGGTAAGAGGAAATGAACTCTGGTAGATTTACTAAGGAAAGTGTTTGCCTCAATTTCTATCAAACAGAAGATGTGCTGTTAGACATACAAACAGAAAAGAATAGAAGAGAAAGCAGTACTATATACAGTGACTACAGAGGATAGGTCAAATAAAGCAGCTTATCTACCTTGTTTTTTCTAACACTTAGAAACCTCTCTACTCTAAGACATGCATTTTGTCCATCCTCAGGTCACTCCACAGAGCAACTTACAACATTCATAAATGCTTCAGGATCCACAGCTCTCTCCATTCTTTTCATTTCTTCTGAATAAGTAATTCCCTGAAACAAATATGTCACAGCAACAAATAGCCATATCTTCTCTCTGCAAAAAACAATATATTCATCTGTCAGTAGTCCTGCTCTGCACTTGTAATCCAGACAGGTCTCTGATGAGGGGAGTTCTGCCTAATAGTAAAGGGAGCCAGTCTGGTACACCCTACTTATTAATTAAACAGAACAAAGCTGATTTCAAACACCTATCTGAGGGAGTTTGGCAGCAACCTGGATTATCTGCTAAGGTGTGGACCAAGATGTTGCTCTTGATCAGGGCAAAAATATCAATGAATCAAAGGAAAGGAGCAAAGCTTTTGGAGAAATAGATGTCACTTGTTTGTCTGAGAAGTAGGTCACTTGCATTACCACGCCATGCATTTTTTCTGTAGATGAATTTGGAAACATTTCTGGCTAACCCTGCAAACAGGGGTGTTATTGGGCAATTCATAAGTAAATCAATCACTGTCAGTGACGTTTTCAAAGTGCAGACAACCAAGTTAGTGGATAGTTAGCTGAAAAAAGGCGAAGACAATTGAAATAAAAAAAATTAAATAAAGGTAAATATCATTTAATCAAAAACTTAGGAACCTAAATAGAGCAGTTACTTATAGTTGCCTGGTGAAATTTATTCAAACCTGCTTAATGGCAAAATTTTTTCAACTCTATAGGATGAGGATGGAGAAAGAGAAAGAAAGCTTTGCTAAATGTAATGCTAGTAGAGACTGAGTGCAGGGACATCCAGTTTTGTTCAGCAAGTAAGGAACAAAAAACCCTGAGAGGTAACTATCCTGCTTAGATGCACGCATAGCAGCTCCACTGACTGTGAAGACCAACATACTCTTACGTCAAAGAAAATGCAATGTTTGAATTAGAATCTTCTCTACACGACACAAACCGCTGGAGGCCACATCTAAACTTCTGTTATCCCAGTAACAGATCTTTAAGCCAGACTGAATCAGCCAAAAAACCTATTGCATTTATTGTTTTCCTAATCAAGAAGACTTCTAATCTTTTTTTTCCAGAGTAACATCATAGCCTATGTTTTTCTTATCACAGAACAACAATTTATATTCTAACTTCCTAGAAGTACATCCTGGTACAATCTGTGTGTTGAAAATACTTGTCTCCTTTTGCAGAAAAAGGAACAGATGTTTAAAATCCCTTTGTTTTACTGAGCTAGCCTCCTTTCTTTTGGTTTAAAGTCACTGCTTTCTTATTCCCTCTCTTTTCATTTTCCCATACCTCTGCAGCTATCCCACAGTTACCTAAATTCAAGGTAGGTGAGCCAGGCTACTCCTCTTTATCCGAAAGGAATTTTCCAAGAAATAGCCATATGGTCACCTCCATGGGTTACAAATAAAACAACACAACGAAACATATTTGTTTCCAAATATTAAAGCAGATCCTCAAGCTCAAGTTTGATACTATCTTTTGCAGCTCCCACTAAGTCTTCATCAGTTTTGGATCAGAAATAATTCAAAGCATTACTGACCTTGTGCCAGAAGTCATGACTTTGGCTGAGCAACCGTGACTATTGGAAGAACAGAAACTCAATTCCTGGCTGTTAGGAAGCTGTACTGGATAAAGATGGCAGTGAAATGATGGTCATGCACTGCTTTTCCCCCAGTCATGCAGCACCTTGACAACAAGTAGCTATTTCTTCCCCGCTCCTCATTCCTTCTATTATCACTTCAGCTTTTCCCTAAGGTAGCACCAGAGAGAGGCAACTCCTTTTATCCTTAAACCTCATGCTTTCCAGCTCCTTAGCCACAACAGCTGTAACAAGGCTCTTTCATTATCACAGATTGCTGGATTTTTAAGGAGAATACCAGCCTGTGTGGAGTGGCAGAGCAGGATCAGGAATTTTGAAAACAAATATATTTATAGATATACCTTATCATAACTAATGAAATTGTCAATAAACCTGCAACAATTTTCTTTTTCAATAACAACCTACCATTCCACCTTCTCATGTTATCTTGAAAGGATGGAAGGAACTCTGACTCTTGATACCTCTACAGATGTAATTGTGCTTATTTTTCTTTTATTCTTTTAATGCTCTTGTTGCTGTTCTATAATTCTACATTGATGCAGGAGGGGTTTCAGATTTTCCTTTATTTATATTTTCACTTCTCAGATGGCCATAGAATTGAATAGATATTTCTTAAATGAATAGTTATGAAACTAGTATACTTTTCTCTAAGCTGTGTGGACTCAGGAAACATCACCATAATGGGCACACTTGTGTCAGTGGTCTCAAGCATACTGGGAGTGGGCCAATATTGTCCTGCAATGGAAATTAGGTAGGTCTGAGTAGACAGTTATGTCTTTGGGACAGTGGCCTTTGTGAGGCTCTTTTTGTGGAGCCATGTTTCACCACATGAGTGGTGTCTTCACTACAACTACAGTACAAACTTTGCAGAAGTATGATTGAGGCTTTTTTTTTCCACTTATGTACTCTGATATAAACTGGTGGGGTTTGCATTCTGCCTTTCCAGCACGGTATTTTTAAACCTTGAAACTAATTATTCTTTCTTGTTCATTTCCCTATACTTGTTCGTCCAAATATTCATTCTGTCTTACAGATACTGTTCATCTACATAATAGATCAGCTTAGACCCTGAGATGAACGTTGACCAAGGTTTTGAACAGGCTTTGACATTTCTATTTATTTTATGGCGTGCATTCTTTCTTCTTGCAATACTGGCTGTTGTTAGGACCAAAAATATTTCATATCCTTAGAAGTTATTTTCTTTAGTATTTACAGATCAAAAAGAAATATGAAAGAAAATCTCAAGAGAAGACTTGTTCCTATAAGACTTGTTATCAGGCCTTCAAAGAGAAATGAGAAGGTCTGAGTTCAGTTTCTGGCAAGGAATTAGGAGAGGAAATGATTTTCAAAGAGCTGGTTTAGGACATGGTATTTTCAAATATTGACTCCACACATGGGATGGAGTGGTTTTTTGAACCTTCTCATTATTTCCTTCCATATACTCTAAGTTCTTTCATCTTCCCTCAAAGAAAAGCAGGTTTTCCCCTTTCTAAAGTCTCAGAATTTCATGAGTGAGGTGTTTAAATGTGTACTTGCCTTCGAGTACCTCATGCTATTCTAAGTCATTAAGATGTGCTATTAACTCATGGTGAACAAAGCCAGCTTCATTCTTTAGTGCAAAGTAATGTTTCAGTGACAAAAATAATTCAGTAAAAAAAAAAATATTGCGTAAAAAGACAAGGTATAAATGGCATAATACCATAAATAGCAAACTATTGGATAAAGTCATTGCAGGTTATTGGCATTACATGTTCGAAGTGAGTGTTTGAGGTGGGGAAAGAAGATGAAGCAGAGTGAGTATTGGGCTGATGTTTTAAAAAAAATAGACATGCACACTCTGTTGTAAACTGACAGATTTCAGGGAAAGTTACTCACATTTTAATCAAGTGTAGAATTAAGTGGAAATGTTTAAAGGTTGAGATGTTACTGTCAGAGGTGTGGCTGCATCTTCACAAATGCAGTCATATGTAAATTAACTTTTAACTGGTCTCTCTAGGTGCCCTTATATAAGTAAGAGCTTCCGTATAAATTATTGACTACACACTTGGTTTATGGAAGTCAACTCCTTCAGTGCTCCTTATGGATGAAAGCCCCAGCAATGTCCATCATATAATCCCTAGCATTTTGATGTTTTCTGTAAACTCTTTGCTCTCCCCATTCCCTCCTGTTTTGGGAATTAGACCTGGCTCTGAAAGAGACTTAGGAATGAAAGATATTTATATACAGCTGAATATAGCAGTTCATCATGGATCAAATATGTCCTTTTGGCTTCTTCATCCAGCTAGTGTACGTACTTATCAGAAACATTTGGCTATTTTAAGTATGTTAAGGAGGGCCTCTAAAGGGAGGTATGCTTTATTGAGAGACAGACTTGTTTTTGTGAAAGCTGCCGTCCAGGAGTCTCCAAGGGAACACAAAGCAGCAAAAAACAGAAGGAACCCCTGAAGCACTCATATGGCTTTAAAAACATTTCACGTCATAATGCTGCAAGCACTTGTTTCTGGAGAGTTAGTAAAGCACTGAGAACTAAGAACAGGGTCTAATAGTGTGCTCTCCACCTTATCCCTGGGATAATACAATTAATAATGCAACAACTGCCCTCAGCCACCTGCCCCATACTGTTGCCTTGGCTAGACCACTGTTGATTCCCAGGACAGGTGTATTTTGGGGCGTGAAGGCAGACCTTCCCTAATCAGCAACGGACCCTACACCTCCAAACAGTGAAGGAATTCCTCCCAATGAAGTCCACACAAAGAGAGACTGAAGTGCAAAAGCATAAAGAACCAATGCCAACAGGTGCTGAACACTAGTGAGAACAGGGTGGAAGATTCTCTTCAGCTCTGTCAGGCCTGCAAAAATATTCCTGGTGCTCATCATCAAGGTCAATGGCATGGGCTTCCTGTGGATTTCCAGCAACGAGGCTGAGTGTCACAGTGTTCGTAAGTGATGAGTGAGATAGCTCTGAGCTGGCACTTAGATAATTATGAAACTTGGGTGTATAGGTATAGTAAGAAGCGTCAAAAGGAAGGGCTCATGAAGGACAGAGAGGGCTGCATGCCTGCCTCTTCTGCTCACACTCCCGACTCCTTGTCTGGAAATGTCCCAGGTAGTGTTGGCCTCCTGCCCGAGCACCAGTCACACACAGAAGGGGCAGCTTGCAAATGAAAAGCTCAGCACCAACCTCTCTGTTAACTTATACAAGGGAAATACAATCCGTGAAAGCAGCACTTATTTCTACAATACATTTTGGCTGATGCTGAAGTTTGTGAAATGTATGCAAGCCAGGATTTCTTCACCTCTGGGGGTGGATGAAGTCTGTGTTGCAATTTATAAGCTTTGCATAACTGTTCAAATTTTTTTGCCCCACAATCTGCAGGTAAGTAATTTTTATCCTTTTGTTGTAGTAATGTATAGAGTAATATCTCATCACCCCCATAGGTATCTATTGTAATTAGACAAAAAAGGAACTCGCAAATCTGCCTACACCTGTGGAAAGCTGAAAACCAAGTATGCTTTATTTCTCTTGCACTTGATGCTAAATGAAAGTCTTGGTGGCGTGAACTCAAATCCTCTGGAACTGAATTCAATTCCAGAACTGGAATCAGTATGAGCGCTATGCAGGGCTTAGACTCTGTGTGCACCAGTCAGTGCCCGTGAGTGTCCTGGTGAACATGGGCCATTAAGCATTGGCAAGCTTGGACTAATGAATGAGAGTGGGGCTGGGTCATGCAATGTGCTACGATCAGTTTTGTGTTGGCATCAGCAGGGCCTACCCAGATATTTTTAAGGATAGGTCAGAGAGGCTGTGGGCAGAGTGGCCTGGGTTTTGCTTAGAGCTAAGAATTAAAGTAACAGGTTTTCTCTGAGATAGAAGGAGGTTGCTGGGCCGGGGGGGGTGGTGGTGTTAGAAACAGGATCCCAGAACCTCTGTCCTCCACTCAGACTGGGATTTTTGCATACCTGTAACTGGGCTAAGCGAGGGTTGAGTTGGCAGCAGCCTGGAGTGGGCAGTGAGATTAGCTACCAAGGTGACTTCAAATACGAATTCCACTACTAATCATCTCCATCACAGTTTGTTGAATTTTTTCATGTATAAAAAACTACATCCTGCTTTCTTTTGGTATGTCAACAGGTTAGATAATCATAGATGTGTCTTTCCAAATCGTAAAGCCCTTATTTTTTCACTTTTACCTTTGCACGCTGTAGGAATTTCATTTGAAACAAAACAGGTATTGCTAACTCATAGATCCAACACCTTTTCTTTAAAAATTACCCATGCAAATTGCTGTTCTGTTCTAGGTGTCAACATTAATTTTCCCACATAAAAATAGTCTACTACAAAAAAACAAAAAAATGAAATATAAAGTAACTATAAAATTAAGATGATTGCTTTGCACTTAGGGCTTACAATATTGTTTTGATCTTTTGTAAGGAAAATGGAGCATGATAAAAATATTTTAACCTTAGCTATAGAAGTGTGCTTTAAATAGCACAGCTGCTTATCTAATATAGTCTGTTTTCAATAGAAGCTTTCCCTTATAAAGACAAAATTTGTATGCTGACCACAAAGCGATTCTTTTCAAAACCAAATGAAGAATCTACATGTTCTATTTTACTTATGTCAACAAAATATTTCATTCTTTTGCTACGTGAAGTAAGTTTACTTCTAAAATGTTAGTGCCAACACACCGTTCCACAACAGTGCACAAAGGACAAATGAAATTCATGGACCACTTTCAAGCTCTGCTCCACTGGATGTTGCACTAGACATTCCAAGTTTTCGTGAAGCAAGAGAATATTCTTTAATTAAGAAAACCAATGTCAGACAAGGGCATAATTCTTACTGTCACAAAGGAAATCCACATCTTTTTTATGATCATGATGACCTTTAGATGCATTTTGTGATGTCTTGAAGCAGGAAGATCCCTTTGTAGAGGAGTCTCATGGCTGTTTTGCTCCCCTGGAGTAGGTAATCTGAAAAATAGTAATTTCCCAAGGTCTGTGTAAGAGGACACCATGTCCCTCAGCAGGAATGCCTCATGGATCCATGCTCTCTGCTAGTGGGCCTGTCATTCTGCAGCAGAGAGGCTCCAATATTACAGGACAAACAGGTCTGAAAAGCTGGTAATTTGTTT